AATTATTTGTAATATAGGTAATGTCAAAATAAAAAATAAAAATTTTGCATAAAAGTAATTAGACAAAATGTTTACTCATTTTTTAAGCTCATTTAGGGAGTTTCTATAAATTTAAAAACATTAAGTTAGAATCAGAATTTTGGGTTCTTTCCGAATAGGAGTTCAACATTTTTGTAGGACTTGTAGCTTAGAAGTTATGAACTAACCTTTTCGGGGCATGGAAATTAAGTTTGAACAGAAAAAATCGACGTTCTTTTTTTGTTGCTGTGATAATTTACGTTATTGTATATTCTATATTAGCGTTTTTTTTTTTACATAGAATTAAATGGACAATTGTTCTCTAGAAAGTGATATAAGAATCAAGAGTTTCAGGAATGCTCGAGCTCACTTTGTAAGTATGTTTTTCATTTAAATCGAGAGAATTGTTTAAACTGGTAGTGTCCCTTATGAAAACATTCTCTATTAACAAATGACTTAGAGGTAACCAATCATTACTCTACCATTTTATTGAGAAATGCTTGTTCTTTTAGTCGCTGTGTTTAAAATAATTGTCGCTTATACTTTAGGTAATTTTTAGCGCGCTAATGTTTGGCCAAACTTAATTTTGCGAGCCTATAAAAGATCGTTTCATAATTCTTTCAAAAATTTTGAATCCATATTCATTAACAATACAAAATTGAACTTCTAATCGGAGCATTAAAAAAGTTGAAAAACTGATGAACACTGTATCAAATTACTTTTTCATGCTTCGTTATAGCAAAATGATTCTCATAGTTAACGAGTAAGTTGATTCATAACTACTGTTTTTTTTTAAACTAATTCACTGACAGTTTTGAATCTGGCAAATTACATTCAATAATTTATACTCATACCATGGGCTATACTTTACAAAATTAGGAAAAAAAACCTTTGATCTCTGTAGCACGTAATAGATTAAGATGAAAGCCAGGTTTATGAATATTGATCAAACGATTGATCTTTTTTCTTCTATCAAAAAAAATTTGATTTATCAATTTTCCTTCTGGCAGCATTTTTAATGTGCGTGTACTAAGAGTATATGAAAAATATTTTCAGAAATATTTTATAAACTTCTCTAAACTCTATGCTATTTAATATTTCTGTAACAATCGTACATACAAAAATTAAAATTCTAGCATTGAATAGGTTTAGATATCTAGGATATGTGAACTATGTATTTTAGCCTTTATCAAAATGAAAACTTATTTAACACCTTTTGTCTCAGAGAAATTTCTCACTTTTTATTTTGTAAAACTTTTTGTCTATTGCGTGACATGAAAATAATATGTTCACTGGTTATGACATATTAAAGTCGTTCTAGATAATTGATGAGATTTTTGATTAATATTCTTCAAAACAAAATTGTTTTCTGGGTAAAAAGCCTTAGAGTAATTAATGAAACAGTCATTGTTTTCAAGAAATATCTAGAATAGTACGTTCGCAATTATTAAATATTGCTCAAATTGATATATATCGAGGACATTTTTTTTGTAAAGATCTTCTCGGGGTCAGATAAGTGATATACGGCTGGGTTCGTCGGGAAAATTCTGAACCAGGGTAAAAGCTTGAAAGTAGAAATCCTATGACTGGATTTTTTCGATTAAGATTAGAATCAGGCTAAACTGATCGGTTGATACGATCATTGGAATCCTGTCGGAAAACAGTGGAATCATTGACCTATATTCTAAAAATATATGCATCTAATTAAGAAGATCATATACTTATGCTAAGGTAAAGCGTACGTTGAACCATCCGTCATTTAAGCTTCTTTGCAACTACGATGTAAGAGAGATAGATAAGTGAAACGGAAATCTTTGAATAATTTTACCTAACTGAAAAATATCAATAGGCAGGTACTGAGAATGAATATTCAGCTGCTTGCCTTCTCTTTTATCGAAATTTGTTGAATACGCAGCTTTTTAGAGCAAATCGTTTTCTACAAGCGAAGACATTCGTGAGGTTTCTATGACTTACAGTTGAGTGTCTATTGCAGGTTTATGGAGAATCTCAAGTGAAAATCTTAGATTTTGATTTTCTTCAGAACTTTTCGTAAAACCGTAATAAAAGTTTTATCATAATTCATGTAAATCTTCTCGATTTCTTCTACAATTCAGAGCTTTTGAGACTATTTCACATACGGAAATATGAAAAAAAAGACAGGAAATTGTCGATGCACACTTAGTTATAAGAATAACATTTATAATCGCAATTGTTTTTGAATGATATATGGCTTTCGGAACAGTTACATTGTCTATGAAACGGAAAAGAACTTCATTCATTTATATCATTTTATAGTCTAAATATGATTATTAGATTTCATTCATATTGTTTTTCTTTAAGTGAAAACAAATTACAAAAGATTTTCTTATGTAATAAAATCGAAAGACAATTTCGTATGAGTTATAATAAACCATTACCTTCTTCTTTTTTCTTTCGTTCTTCTTCATCTTTCTTCTTTTTGGTTTTTGCACTTTTGTTACTTGGTGTTGCTGATTTCTAAACAAAGCCATAGAATTATAATTTTATCAAGAAAAAAAATTCATTAATCAAAAAAACAATAAAAGCCAGTAGCGAAAACTACAAAATGATTTTAATGTATATATTAGTTTTCTCTTTTCGCTTCGATTTTGACGTAGTACATTTTCTATTTGATTTTGTTTTTTTTTTCGATACTTTACTATTTGTTGTGGATACATCAAATGAATGAATATGCTCATGAGTTTATAATGATGATTGATTATAAATCCTATAAATTTTTTTTTCGATGCTAAGATCTAAGTTACTTGATCTTTAGTCAATTTTTGAAAGTTTGATTTTTTATTTTTTTTCATTTTTTGTTTAGTAGAATTTTTTGATTGTGCATTTTTATTAAACATTGAATAATCATTTAACGATAAATTCTATTTCAAAAATATTTTTTATGTGTAAATATAAAAGTAAAATTTTATTTATTGAATATTAAGCAAATATCTATAAATGTTAACTTACCAAAGCGCTAGACATTGTTATATTATTATTTTAAATTAAAAATGAAATTTTTCTGCACGTGTTAATTTTCATTATATAGTCTGTTGTCATGTCAACAACCTTTACTAGTGACCTCTTTGGATTTCTATTGGTAACTATATAAATAAATTGGTTTTCTTTTTTGATGATGAATCATTGTTTGCTCATAGTATTTTTGTTAAGTTAACATATGTAATAGGAGACATAGGCATTCAATGCACTTTAGATAACGACGAGTAAATTTAATTTCTCATTTTATCAAAACTGGAATCGATCATTTAAATTAACAAGCAAAGCCACAAAGAAATTTTTAATTAAAAAAGAAAAAAACGATGGGGAATATGTTTGGTTCAATATTTGGAAAGAAGCACTATCGAATATTAATGCTTGGTCTTGGTAGAATTTCTATAAAAAAAATCAATAAAATTTTGATTGAATTTTTGTATTATTTAGATAATGCTGGAAAAACATCAATTCTTTATCGTCTTCGTTTGAAAGAATCAATTACAACAATTCCAACTGTTGGATTTAATGTTGAAACTGTTTTATTAGGGCATGTTAAATTTAATGTGTGGGATGTTGGTGGACAAGTAAGTAAACTAGAGAAAGAATACTTCATGTATTTTCAAAGATAAATGAGTAATTAACATGTTTTTTTCCTCAAAAATTGATTCACATAGAACCATCTTTCACGGAAGTATAAGTTGATCTTACTTCCATATATATGAGTCACACACTTGTATGCCGCACTTACAGTATACAAATAGTATTTTTATAATACATTCAACGCATTAATATATCGAGAATGAATAGTAACATGTCATGAAAGGTTTTAAGCGAGGCGGGCATGGTGAAAATGAGTCATTCAAATAATATATTATATTCAGCTCTTTTTGTTTCTATCGAACTAAGAAAATATTTCTATTCAATAGCTACGCTTTATAATCGACAGCCCAGAAATAATTGCGTATTTAATACTTTCAAAGTTTCTTTTTGTATTTCACATCCGATCAAGATATTCTTTTTTATCAAAAGATAGCCCTTAAAACTATACGCAAAGTGATATACTTTGTTTAACGAATATAAGTTCCTTCATTTTCCTAAAATCAAATACAAAATATAAAATTGTTTCTTTTTCAACTGTTTTGTGTCAAAACGTTTTACTTCCTCTATCAATGTTGCTTTTGTTGTTATAAGATTCGAATTTTCGGTTTCAGTCAATTGATTTCAAAAAGTTTAATCTAACTGACTTAAATCAAGCAGATTTAATGACTAATGATTCTTAGGTATGAATGCACAAAAATAACCTGTAGATCATTTTTTACTAACGAGAAAAGTTCCCAAGTAATCAATCGCTTTTTCGTAGAAACATACATGACTATATGCAGTTCAATGCGCTGATTTCGAATATCAGAGTTTTAGAAGCTCTTAGGCCTTTTTACATTCTGTTTCATTACTTTCAACCCATGTTCTGATAAGGGTCTTTCTCATAAAATTCAATCTTTTAACCAGTCTACCATATACCACTAGACAAAATATGCACAAGAATATCTTTTCATTTTACCATCATCATATGTTCACAAATCAATCATAACTGTAGTTATATGCAGCAAATTATATGACAATGAGAGAAATAGAAAATAGGTATGCTAATTTCTCAAAATATAAAACATTGGCACTGTGAGAACATATTTTTTAAGAATGCGACAGATTGAGATAGATTATGTAATGCAATACATAAGATACAATGATTTCTTTATCTTTTCATTATGTGAAAAATATTAACTCCAAAAAGGTATTTTTGGATATTTAGTCTTTTTCTGTCTTACGGTGCATTTTAGTATTTGCAACTTAAGGTTAAGCGTCTATGAAAAGTACATGGTAGACTAATTAAAAGATTGAATTTTATGAGAAAGACCTTTATCAGAAGTAACTCGAGAGTAATGGCACAGAATCTAAAAAAGCCCAAGGGCTGCTGAGACGTTGATATTCGAAATCAGCGCATTGAACTGCATACAGTTGTGAGAAACTTTCCTCGCAAGTTCAGTTACAGTTGACTCTTTGACTTCCTGTTCTGTGAAATAAGTGAATATGTTTTGATTCAAGAGACAGTTTTTCTATTAACATCCGTTCGTTAAATAGTAGACGTCATGTCACCCTTCAGATATTCATTTTTATTCGAACTATACATGGACGACTGGGATGATGTGACAAATTGATCAAGCTAATGTTGTTGCTCATGTTTATTCATAATTTAATTGTTTATAATGAAATCATTTCTGCCAAATCACGATAAATTTTTGCCAGTTCACTACTATTTTCATTTATAAAAAGACGATGTCTTGATCAGATGGAAAATACAGAAGAAATTTTAAAAATACTAACAGTGTAATTATTACTAGGCTAACTTGTTACCATAATTAATGTAAAGATAGAAAAGAAAATTTTCGACTATTTGTTTAGCTGATATATTGATTACTAAAACTCATAAAATTGAAATCAAATAGATATCGTTCAATCGCTAATTTAAATAAAAGTTTTTGACCTATTACTACCATATTTAAGAGTAGCAATTGAATTTCAAAGATTTTTGTCCTTATATTGTTGTTTTCTCAAATAAACGTAAACTTCTAATAATAAATTCTTGATTTTTTTATATCATTTTATTGATATTATATTTCTATAGGATAAAATTCGTCCATTATGGCGGCATTATTATACAGGATCTCAAGGACTTATTTTTGTTGTTGATTCATGTGATCGTGAACGTATGGAAGAAGCAAGTCGTGAATTAGAAAAAATAATTAATGATCGTGAAATGCGTAATACTGTTCTGCTTGTATTTTGTAACAAACAAGATATGTCTGGATGTATGCAACCAGCTGAAATACGACAAGCATTGCATTTAGATAAATTAAATCGTCCATATGCTATAATGCCATGTTCAGCTTTGCATGGAACAGGTTTATCAGAAGGTCTCAAATGGCTATCTGAACATTGTAAATAAACAAAATATCTCAATTCTGTATTTTGTGTGCAGTGATGATGATGAGGATCTGGCGGCATTTTTTCTGTTGTTGTTTGTCTCTTTTTCTTTTTTTCTTTTTTATACATATATATAATATTAAACTCATTCGTTGTTAATGTGTGTGTATGAGGGGTCAATTTTTTTTTTTTTTATAATGAAAAAATGAAGAGAAAAAAAATCAGAACAAAGAAAATAAAACAAGTTATATGTTAAATGATTTATTTAGAAATAATGTTTAAATCTTCATATCTTATTCCTCATTTATCATTTCAATTGAAACGTTATATTCATTTAACAATACCATCATTAACAGCTGGACAAACACAATATCATGGTCAAAAAAATTCAACATGGTGGCAAAAATATGATTCACATGTTGATCCTGTTCAAACACGTACGGATTTACTTAATATGGATGATTTAGATGAACGACATTATCGTCCTGTTAAACCTGTTATACCAACATATCAATCATTTTCTTGTTTCCATGATCCAATTATATCTCGTGTTGTTGGTATTTTATTACGTGAAGGAAATCGTGAATTAGTTGAAGAATTAATACATAAAACATTTCGTACAATGAAATTAATACAAATAGGAAAATATAATCGAGCTAAAACAAAAGAAGAACGTGAGTCAATCGAATGTAATCCAGTTACTTTACTTAAACAAGCAATTAAAAATGTAACACCTATTGTTCGTATGTAAATTAAGTGAAAAAAAAAGTTTTTTTTTTCTTTTTTTGTATTTATTTATTTTATATTATATATATCATAGGTCTTACACGAATAGCTAAAGGTGGCACTTTATATTCTGTACCAATACCAATGTCACCCGGACGAGGTACTTTTACAGCTATTCGATTATTAATTGATAGTACACATGATGCACGACCACATGATCAAAGATTTTGGACGTTATTTGCAAAAGAAATAATGGATGCAGCACAAAATCAAGGACGAACAATAAAGAAAAAACAAGAAATACATCGAAATGCTGAACTAAATCGTGCTTATGCGCACTTTAAATGGCAAAAATAATGATAAAAAAAAATACTTATCTATGTTTTTTGTTTAATAAAAATAAAAACAAGGTGAAACCCTTGATTTTTCATTTACTCATTAACCTAATAATTGAAAAGGAAAAAAGAGCAACGGAGAATATTAATATGCTGTAATTAATATCTATTTATACATACATGATTTTTTATTAAAATAGAAAAACGAATATAGTGTGACTGAGTATAGATGTTTCGGTTGACGCCGTTGGCTTCATCATATATATACGGCTGCCATAATAACGGGAATCAAATACTTTATACATCATTTGTCAAACGTTAATATAAAAAAAACACTGAAGGTGAGTTTGAGTTTTTTGTAAATATATAGAGAAAAGTTTTATTTCTTCGTTTAGAAATTTTTTTCTTTTGAAGAAATGAGCAATTTTCTTAATAAATTATTAGGAAAAGATGGTGAATCAACGAGTCATTCTTGTTCACATAAAGCTGATGTAAAATGTGAAAGTGGAACTTGTAGTACATCGATAACTGGTGGTGAAAAACTTGGCCGTAAAAGTGATGATGAAATAGTAAACATTAATACTGATGAACAAGTTATCGAAGGTCGAACAGTACAACGTGAAGGTGTAAATATTAAATCAATTGTTTCATCAGATATCATTTCAAATGTAGCAATTGCTAATCAACAAAAACTTAATGATCTCATTTCAAAATTAAGTGAGTTATTTAATTGTTATTCTAGAATTCAAAACTGAATAATTCTTTATATATTTTTTTCTTCTTTTGGTTCAACACATTCAAAAATCAATGAATATGCTAGCCAACAAACAGCAAAAATCGATGCAGAAATTCAACGTGAAATCGATCTAATTGTTGCACGTACACATCATCAGCAAGAAGAACTTCTTCGAAAAGCTAATGAGGATATCAACCAAATTGATACTAAATACCGTTTACGATTACAAAAAATGGTTGAAGAAATTGATGTCAATAAAGCAAAACAAATAGCTGAAATTGAAAAAGAATTAAATAAATTACAAAGTGGAATATTAAAAGCTGCTAAAAATGATATAGATCTATTAAATAGAAAAGCAGCTGGTCTTAAAATTGATATTTTACAAGAAGCACAATCAAAAGTAGCATTACAAACAGGTGATATTACTACTCAAGCACAACATTTAAGTGAAACATTAACTCATCATCAATCAACAGGTACAACTACTATTAAAACAGATGTATCAGCAGTAGCAACACCTAATGAAATTGGCAGTACGGAAACAATAGAAAAAATATGTATCAGAGACAATCATGGGTCGGCAAGTGGCGCTCAGAGAATCTGAGAAAAGCAAAGGAGTTGAAACAAGCAGACACCAATCAAACGATAGCAGAAAAGGACTACGTAATACAGGGAAATAAGGACGTTTTTTTTTTCTCTCTTTCATTATAGCGTACTCAAGCTGTGTGAATAAACTTTTAACTTTGTATTTTGTGTTTTTCAATAAATATAAGAAAATAATATTTTTAATTTAAAGATTAAATTATAAATTATCTATTTTATTCTGTTAATATCGATTGATTATATTTTCTTTAGATATGTGTTATTATCAGTTTTTTTCATAAGTAATTAATCTCAAGAAAAAACAATTCTTTTTTATTTTATTTTAATAATTCAATAAATTCGATGCAGCATACATTTGGTTTAATTGTTCCCGGTGCTTTAATTACTGCAATTCTTAATTCAACTTCTATTATTCGTCTTTGTGGTAGTTTACCAGAATTAGGCTCTTGGTCCATAGATAAAGCACCACAACTTACTCTTCTTACTAAAGAACTTTATCGCCCAGTACAATTAATGAATGAACCAAGGTTTTATCGATTAGATATTAATTTATCAAGAGATATTCGTGAATTTGATTATAAATATGTTCTTAATGATGAAATATGGGAAGGAAAAAGAGAAAATGCTCGTGTATGGTTAAGAGATGATTGTAAGAATTTAGTAGATCAGGTTTATTATACACCTATTGATTATTGGATTGATGTTAAAACTGGCGGTAAAAGAAACAAAATACATATTTATTTTTCTTTCCTATTAAATATATTTCTGTTTAGCAACTGATGAAAAAACGCATACATCAAATTTTTATAATGAAGTAGTTGCTCATAAAATCATGCATTATGGTCGTGTTAGTGATAACTTATATGTTGGTAGTTGTCCACGTTTGCTGACACATATTGAAAATGAATTGGGTAAAACATTAGGCATAACAGCTGTTCTTAATTTACAAGTCGTGAAAGATATTGAACGAAATTGTCAAGGAATTCTTGGTGATAATCATGTACCAGAGCCAAATAATGAATTTGATTTAGCAAGTGTTGATATATTAAGAAAAGCATATGAACAAGCAAATATTTTATTTTTATGGGTGCCAATTACAGATTTATCATCAACTGGAAGAGAATTAATGTCACCACAAGCAACATTAGTATTGAAAACAATATTAGAAAAAGGTCATAGAGTATATGTACATTGTAATGCTGGTATGTTGAATGATAAGTTAAAATGATGTGACTTCTATTCAAGCTTAACTAAGCGATGGTTTTGTAAATCTACATTTGCAAGAAAATTAATTATAAAAAAAAAAGCAAGAAAATTTTTATTTTTTATTTTAGGAGTTGGTCGAGCATTTGGTATTGTTTGTGCTTATCATCATTTTGTTTTAAAGACGCCATTACCTAAAGTTCATTATAATTTAGCTCCAATACGTTCATGTGGTTTCTTTGATCGTGTATTTCTTGAAAATGCAGAAATAATATACAAAAAAGCATTTGAATAAAAAAAAAAGAACAAAAATTTAATCAAGCGAAAAAAAAGAACATGTCGTTGTTGTTTATTTTTTTTATTGTATAATTTCATTTATCTATTTTTTTGTATAACTTGTTCTTGTTTTTCAATTGGTTGAAACTGAAAATCAAAATCAAGCTGTGGTAGTATCGTTGTTGATGTTAAATCTTGTAATGATTGTGAACGATATTGTTGAAATGGTGAATTTTGACTATGTTTTAATTCTACACCATGTTTTATACACATTTCATCAACTAGTTGATTGAATTCATGTGTTTGTGGTGTTGTTGGAGTTTTATAAACAACAATTTTTTTATTTGGATGAGAATGTTTAACGTGTGCAAATACAGATGATAATTCATTTGGATTCATTAAACATTCTTTGGTACCTTCAACACGATATATAACTGTTGGCTGTTGTTGTTGTTGTTGTTGTTGTTGTTGGTGTTGTTCAATATTTTGTTTTGTTCGATGCGATCGACGAGATGGTCTTAGTTCAGTTACAGGAATTGATAAATCACGATTAATCATTGGAGTTTGATTGTGACGAGAATGAGATGAAATTTTTTTAGTTGATGGACTGCTATTATGTACTGATTTACTATTATTTGAATTTGAATTATAGGTTTGGTAATGAGGTGGAGGAAGTATATCATTAGAATAACCATTTGTACTAAAATTAAAATAGATAATTTGATTAGTTATTTTAATAATATTTAAATAATTAGAATTTACTGTTCATCTGTACAATGATTTTGATATTGTAATTGTTCATCATTGTTCTTATTCGTTGATAAATTAAGTAATAACTTTAATAATAAATCTCGTTCTTTTCTCATTTCATTAATTGTTTCAATTAAAATAGATTCATTTAATTTTGCTTTTAAATATTCATTTTCACGCCATAATAGATCACGTTCATCAACCAATCGGTGAAGCATTGAAACGAGTTGTTCATTGTCAAATTGTTTTTCATAATTATTATCGACTGTTTTTATTGGAATATTTTTAAACATTGTTGATGTAAAAGAACAAAAAGCAGAGAATTTCAATTTAATATTCTATATTGTCTATTTTTTAATTGTTAATATTCGATGTTGGTGTTGATTGACAAGTCGAAGAACAAGACAGACTATACAATTACCATCGTACTCTTAGCCTCTCTACGTGATCTAAAGAGCAAAGTAATTTCAATGGCTCGTTTCGCCTTTTCTCTTGCCTCATTTTGCAACACTTGAATAATATTACGCGAAAGAGTCGAGAGAAATAGCACATGCTTCTCTCCGTTTTTTGTTATTGACTCTTGTTCGTTTTCTCGTCATTCTCTCTTCTCTTCGTTTGCAATACTTGTTCGTTGTCGTTTAGTGTTTGTAAATATCAACGATCGAACCAGTAATGTTACCTTGAGCGAATGATGCCATACGAAAGAGTAAGTGAAAGGGAGAGTAAAAAAAAATCTTTATTGATGTTTTTGGTGGTAAGAATGTGAAAATGAAGTTTTATTAGTTGTGTTAAAGACATGAATATTTTATTGAAATTAATCTAAATAAAATGATATTTTCAAATTTATTTCTTAGACATAGCATATTAGATTGAACTTTGATTTGTTCAAAAATAATTTACATATGTAAGAACTCGAAAGAAGACAAGATTGAAATCAAAGGTCATGTGAACAATACAGACATTGCTTCTCAAATGTCTATTAATATGCCAACTAAATTTCATCTAAATTCAATTAGATACAAGAGATTTATATTGCAATAGATATTGTATCGAAGTTAACATGTGAAATTACAAAATCAATCAAATTCATTGAGAATTCGAACAAGAATTTTTCTTGAAAAAAAAAAAAAGATGTTTTTCTTGTTAATGGATTGATATATATGTCTTTTAAAAATTTAGAATGTCTACTCAACATATGAATCTTTAGAAAACATTATTGAAGAGAAATTAAAATTTACTTTTTTTCTGTTCTATTTTTGCATTTAATTTTTTTTTGTTTCTTTTCAGTGTATTGTTTATTTATTGAAATTTTATTAATCCTCTTTTAAGTTGTTATTTTTGTACGATGAAATTTTAATGTACTTTTCTTCAACGAAAAAGAGAAGTAATTTCATATAAGAAATATTGTTGCCGATTTGTGGTAAACAAAAGATTTATTATTTCATTTCTATTTATGAATACAAGTTCATCTTGAAAAAAAGAAACATAAAAATGTAGAGTATAAGTCATTTCTGATAAAACTTCGGGGAATTTTCCTATTAAACGAATAGTAAATCTTTTCATGAATCCTTATTAACAAACTATTAGATATTCTTATATTTATATATTTAAATTAATAAATCACTAACGAGGAAACATTTCCAAGTGATTCGCTCTGTTTTGATTCATTCATATCTCATTCGATAGAGTATATTGAGATAAGAAAAAGCATCCAAGGAATCATGATCGTGGCCTAGTTTTGAAGAGTTATGGCCGTTTTACTGCGAGCCAGGCATTTCGGAAAAACAAAGCAAAATGAAGAATTTCGAGCTGAAATTCTATCTATCGATAGATTTAATAGTCATTATATAGTTCTGAAAGTTTCAACGAAAATGAACATGTCTTTCTCGAGATATTCAATGTTCAACTAAACTGGATTATTATGCCCTTCTATGGTAAGCAGCTATTTTTTTTTTAATTGAATAAATCGAGAAAGACATGTTCGTTTTCGTTGAAACTTTCAGGACTATAAAGAATATTCCATAATAACTGACGATAAATTGTTTTTGATATTTTTTACACTTTTTGTTGACCTAGAGAGCTGAAATTTTTATCACATATACATCTAGTTATCATCTTCCATTTCTGAAAGTTTCAGCTTTCCAGCTAAAGCTAGTGGCGAAATGCATCGACAAGATTGAAATACATAAATTTTCGGACTGAATATTGCAAGGTAATTCCGTGGGTAATCAATCAACTAATCACAAAGTATTCAGAAAATTTTCTTTCGTATCCAACTTTGTAGAACTTTTTTCATCGATCAATTTGGTAAAAAACACTTTTCGAAGTTCATTGAGAAATGACAATGTTAGAGTCAAAATATTTATCGTAAAGACAGAAGATACGAGATTTTTTTGATAGGAATATCGTATACAACGTTTAATCGAGATTTATTCATCCTATTTATTCAAAACTTTTTTTTACCAAAATGATCAAAGAAAAAAGTTCTACAAAGTTTGATACGAAAGAAAATTTTCTGAATACCTTGTGATTTTTTGGTTGGCTATTCACGGAACTACCTTGCACTATTTTCACAGTAGAAAATATAAAAAAATCATTTTCGAAAATTTATGTATTTCAGTCTTGTCCATGCATTTCACAATTAGTTTTAGCTACAAAAAACTGAAACTTTCCAAAAATAAAAGATCTTCATTAGATATATATGCGATAAAAATTTCAGCCCTCTATGCCAAGAAAAAGTATGAAAAATATTATTAACAATTTATCGTCAGTTATAATGGAACACCTTTTATAATGACTATTAAATCTATCTATAGATAGAATTTCAGCTTGAAATTCTTCATTTTATTTTTTTTTCGAAAATGCCTGGCTTACAGTAAAAATTTTAGTAAAACGGCCATAACTCTTCACTACTAGGCCACGGGCACGAATCCTTTTAGGCTTTTTCCTATCTCAATATACTCTATCGAATGAGGTATGAATGAATCAGAATAGAGCGAATCACTTGGGAATGTTCCCTCGTAAAAAAGAATTATTAATAATGCATCAGATCAAATATTAATTTACCTGAAGCAATTATTCATTGAAGACAAAAAAACTTTGTATTTATCTTTTATTGGTATCGATCTTTGTTGATCGTTACACGATGTAACAAATCTAAAAAATAATCAACTAATTGGATATTGCACATGTGAATCTTTTGACAAGTAAATAATCAAGCAGTATTTTATTAGATTTTTGGCTTCTCAATTACTCGAAAAATTTTATTCAATTTTATTTATTGATTATTGTAAAAAAGCTCTGGCATATGTAGCTAATAACCCTGCCGCAAGACCGCTTTGATGTGATAAACATCCATGAACCATATTTTGTTCAATTAATAGATGTCTTTTCATTTTTGAATTCGATTCAATCGTATCTAGTGTTCTAGGAAAACATCCATATTCTGAATCTTGCCATGTAAGAATTGTATTAAACCAATCGAAACGTAAAAATTCTTCATAACCAATAATTGAACATAATAATAATTCTTCAAGAAATAAATCTTGATTGCTATCATCTTTTATATTTATTTCAGCATCTTGATAAATATTTGAACAATATCGATCTTCTAAATATTTTAAATTTTTATTTGCTATATTTGATATTAATCGATTATCAATACAACCAACATTTTTTGCAACTAAAAACCATAATAATTGATGTGTTAAACGATAATCTTTAGTCATTGATGATGTCATCATATTCCAACATGATTGAGTTATAAAACATTTTGTTGAATTCGAAGGATTATTTGAACCAAGTAATTGAGCAAAACAAGAATCAGATTCATTTTCATCAAAATCTGAACTTCTTAAATCATGTTCAAATAAATTTTTCTTTATTTTTCTTACTTCATATTCAACTCGAAATGGTTCTGATGCAATAAGAATAAAACGTTGTAAATATGAAGATTCTGCTTCAGCTAGAATAGTTAAACTTTTATTTGCTATACGTTCAATTTGTTGAGATAATGAATGAATATATTTATTTTTATCTGTTAAATGATGATTTTCATTTGATGTTGAAGTTAAAATTTCATGAAGAGCATCTAATTGTCCTTGTGCTATACGTAAACCATATAAACCATCAAGATTTAAATCATTGACGTCGGATTCAAAAAAAGTTAAAAGATGCTGTAAAGCAGTCAATGCTTGACCACCATATTTAATATGTAATTCAGGTGAAGGAAGACTTGAACTTATTACAATATGAATAAAAGGACAGATTATAAAGAAAATAAATACTTGAATATACATCTAAAAATATGAATAACGTTATATTTGTTTTTGTAAATTATACCGGAAAAAACTGTTTTTTGTATAGAATAACAAAAAGATCAAAACAATCGATATAAACCAGCTAGATAAGTGATATCAAGGCAGCTGATAAATACGAATAAGCATTGGTTACTTGAGAAAAAGAGGTTATATGTACTATCTCCCTCTATGTCAATGGCAGCATCGTTCGTTCTTTTCTCTTCGTATCATCGTGAAAAGCATCGGAAGAATGCAAAAGAAAAGAAAAAAGAATAAGTTTAGGTAGGAAGGGTACACCTTATGTTTGCCTGAATGTGTGATCATCTTATCTTTTTCATTATTAAAAACAACATTGCAAAATGAAAAGAAAAGAATAAAAAAAGAATTGATTTATTTCTCTATTGTTTTTTTTTTCCCATATGTAAAGTCATTCATTAGGTTTCTATATGAAAGTACTTGCATAAATCGATTATTTTTTTCGATGAAATATATTTTTTTTTTTTTTTTTTGGTAGTTTAAATCAATGGTAGTAATTCATTTCGATTGTGAAAAATTGTTATTTTACTATTATTTATGTCAAAATAAAAGAAGGATGGATATTTTTGAAATAATTCTTGATAGAAATCTGCAGTTTTCACTGGTTAAAAGATAAGATGAAATTACATTGAATAGTATAGACCAGATTTTTCTCACATATTTTCGTAAATTCTGTCATCAAGTTTATTAAAAAGCAAAACATTGTGTAATACAAAAGTTTTAAAATTTTTACTTTCAGGAGTGCACTTGAGTCATTAACTAAAGATCTATAAATGATGTAAGTTCAATGTGAGAAGGTTTAGCCAATCATGACTTATAAACATTTTCTTAATTGTTATCGGCAGATTTTTTACAAAAATTTACCTTTTTTTTTATGATTTTTACATGAAAAATCGGGTATAAATGATTCGATGTTGTTTCATCTCCTCTTTTAAACGGTGAAAACCGTATAGCTATATTTTGTTCTTATCAAAAATTATTCCAAAAATGCTCACCTTTCTTTTATTTTGAAATGGATCATAGTTTGAATTATTTCTTTATATAAAACATTACAATCGTTAGAGATGAATATGATATTAAGAAAATCTTTTTTATTCTAGGAACTCACTAGAAGAAGTCTTTTGATGTTTGAATCCATCTTGAAATCAATGATTGTTTAATGAATGAAGCGCCAAAGCCTTCAAAATAATACCTAATAAGCATATGTTGTCTTTTGCGTATTAGATCTATGTTAGAATTTTGTGACAGAAAAAGGATGATCGAGATTATTATTTAAAAACTTGAAATACTCGTTACATTGATGATGAAAGCTTATCACAACAATTACTAAAAGTTTAAATTTCATAGGAATTCTACTCAATAACTTCTTTAAAATCTTCTTATCTTAGTTAAGTGCCGAAAATTTCGAAATTGGATCAAAACTTTTTTAGTGCTTTCTTATCATTGTTGTATAAAGCTTGCCTACTTACCTACAACGAAAATTAGATTTAAAAAAATCAAAAAAATCTGTAAATGCATAAATACACTGAAAGCATCAAGTGTCTTTTGAAAAATATTGTTGAGAAATTCGAGTTTTTCGATATAGTATTAAAATGTCATAAATACAGATTTGCATCGAGAGATTTTGACTATCAGAGCTTACGCTCGGAAAGGAACAATGAAACAATATTTTTCAAAACCTATGCGTAATTGTTTCTCTAGCCATATGATTTTAAAAAAATACCAATTCGATAAGTATGATATAAAATGAATTGAAGAAAATACTATGATTATTTATGCAGATGAAGATTATGTTTATAAAAAACATCATTTTGACAATATGAAATAAATAATTATCAATTGCTGTTTATGGTTGATATTAGATAACATATAAATGAATCTTAATATCGATTTAATGATGATCAAATCGCTATTTATTATTTATATCATTTCTAAAATTGTACTTTTACTTTTTATTTATATTAAATGAGAAATTTAAAAAGAAATAAATAAACACTAAAAATTAGATTTAAAAGTCTTTCATAAAAAACTATCATTCTTTAGTTGATATTTGATCTTCTATTTTGATCTCTGTTTTAATTAAAAATTTTTGTCTATTGTGAATTTGACAAGCAGGTGATATAATACAATGAATAGAACATTCAATGTGTGAAAAGAATGTAAATCGAACCTTCAACTCGATAAGTACATGCACAAACTCAATGAGGTCAAAAACGTTAATCCTTCTTTTTTTATTATGAGTTTTTATTCTGAACAAACAATAGATTTGCTTCCTCCTTCTTTTTTCTTTTCTTTTCAACTATCTTTCAATAAACAAGTATCCTATTCTTATGTTCATTTTATTCATCAACATGCATTTGTGGAGATTTCAATTGTTCTTTTTCTTTCTACTCTTATCATATGTTTCAACAGGTAAATAAATAAAAACAAAAGAAATATTCAATTAATTATTTATTTTTATTAGAAATAAGAATTGTTTGTTATTATCCAAATTGGTCAGTTTATCGTGTAACAAATCTTCCTATATTATATCCTGACAAAATTAATCCATCACTTTGTACACATATTCATATAGCTTTTGCATTAATTAATCCAACAACACTTAAAATTGAACCAAGTGAAAAACATGATACACATTATACAGATGCATTTGAGAGAGTAAATTGAAACCTAGGTTTTTGCTGTTTCTTTTGTGTTTGTTTCAATGATTATTTTTCTATATGATTTAGCCATTATATTTGAGAATGCACGAATTAAAACAACTTAAATCATCATTAAAATTATTAGTAGCTGTAGGAGGATGGACAGCTGGTAGTGAAGCATTTAATAATATTTTAACGAATTCTACAACTCGAACAATATTTATTCGACAAGCAAAAGAATTTTTACATCATTGGAGTTTTGATGGAATTGATTTGGTATAAATATTAAATATTGAAATAGAGATGTTCATCGTGATGTGGCAGCGGCAGGTCCTGTACTGCGATGAACATCTCTAAATAAGAACTAGTTAATGAATTTTCTTAGTGGGGATTTTTTTTCTTCTTATAATAGGATTGGGAATTTCCTGGTGACATTGAACGAGGTGCTATGAATAATTCTCGAGAAGAATTTAATATTCTTATCAAAGTATATAATTGAAATATTTGTTTTTTTTTTTAGTTTAAATTATTGCTCTTTGTTTTTAGGAAATCCACGAATCATTCCATAATGATAGTAATCCATTTCTTTTGACAGCTGCTGTTAGTGCTGATCCAACAAAAATTGATCAAGGTTATGTCGTATCTGATTTTTGTCAGTGAGTACTATGAAAATGTTTTTTTTTATAAAAATTCTTTTGTGTCTTTAGTTATCTTGATTATGTTAGTGTTATGACATATGATTATCATGGAGCTTGGGATAATGTAACTGGAATCAATGCACCACTTTATGGAAGAAATTCATCAGAAGAAGATGACGATGATGGAGGGTGGAAAAATGTCGTAAGTTATAATGATAAAATTGAATTAAATTTTATAATATGTTCTTTAGAATACATCAATTCATTATTGGTTGTCTAAAGGTTGTTCACCAAATAAACTTAATTTAGGTTTAGCCTTGTATGGTCGAAGTTTTACACTCGGAAATGATTCAAATTCAGTTTCTGTTGGCACAGAAACAATTGGAGCTGGTTTAGGTATAAGCAATTAATTTTTAGTAGAAATTCGTTGGTCGAAAAATACTAAAATAGTAGCATTTACTATTTATTTTTTATACCATGTATATAGAAAGTGTATAAGAATAAATAGTAAATGCTACTATTTTATTATTTTTCGACGAATAATCATTCAACCAACGGCCATTTCTCTTGATTTGGTTCATAATAATTGAAAACTTGTGCTTCTTTTTTTTATGATAGCTGGATCATTTACAAAAGAAAATGGTACTTTAGCCTATTTTGAAGTAATACATTTGTTTACCTATTAATAATATTTGAATAAATTATCTCGATAGATTTGTCAAAAATTACGAGTAACCAATTGGACAAGAGTTTTTGATACGGATGCTCAAGCACCCTATGCTTATAGTTCTTCATCTTTAAATTCTTTTGAAAGACAATGGGTTGGTTATGATGATTTACAAAGTATCACATTTAAAGTAATAAAGTTTTTTTTTCATAAAATTCTTATTATAAAAATATTTGTTTTGCTTCTTATTGAGGTATTGTACGCTAAAACATTAGACTTAGGCGGTGTAATGGTATGGTCTCTTGATCAAGATGATTATACAGGTTTATTTTGTGGTCAAGGACAATATCCATTTGTGCGACGTATTCATGATATCCTTTTCTCATCCGATAAACATAATAAACAAGAATCTGTCAAAACAACAATAGCAACAACATTTCGTACAAAACAAAAAGTTAGTTTTGTTCCTATTCAAAATTTCACACCAAAACGTCAGAAATTTACATTAACCTCAATACAACCACTACCAAGATCAAAAATTTTTAATGGAAGTGTTAAAAATAATAGTGCTTTTTATTTGTTATTTATTGTTTGGGTGCTTTTTTTAATACAATAAAATGTAAATAGATATAGATTACGAAAAGAAGGAAATAGGTTTATTTTATATGTGCTATTTTATTTGTTCAAATTACATATTTTTTGTTCATTTAGTTCGACATTTAAAATGAGAAATAGCTTGTGCTTTATTGATATACTTTTTAAAAAATGTTCATTCAGTCATAAAAATAAACAAACATTTTCAATTTAACTTTAAATAATTTTTATGTTCGTCGTCAATATCCATGTCATCATTTTTAATCATTTTGATATTGAGAAATAATATAGTGAGATATGAAAGTGTCAAAATACTATCTTATAGTTTAATTTATTGTGATTCATTGTCTTGTTTATTTTTCTAGTTAATTATCATTTTCTTGATTGATTTTTGCTTCTTTCCACCCGTCAACATTTTATGAC